GAGATTATTGTATGGTTGGTTGTGTTTAGTTTAATTTTTTTTCTTTTTAGTGGTGTTTGTCCAGTTTTACTTTGTGGAAGAGCACCTCATTTCATTGCACCCGCTTGCGAGTGTAATGACAAATAAATTCTTATGTCTTATGTCTTAAAAAAATTGAATCCCACCCCTGGGTGGTATTAAGCCTAATTTTACTCAGACAAGAAACACAACCAGGAGTACTAGCTCTATCTTTATTGTAAGGTGTTTGGATTTGGGTTTTGATTTGTTTTTTGTGCCTTTTGAGTCATTGTTAATGCTAACCATCTGCCTGGACTAGTCCCTGCAATTTTCTTGGCAAGATTTTGGAAATGGTATGTCATTACGTGTGTCTTAGGGCTGAAAAGGTATGACTGGCCCAAGGTCATCCAGCTGGCCCGGTGCCTTAATCACTGCACCAAACTGGCTCTCTATTGTAATGTTAAAAGAATATTGGGAGATGAAAGTATTCTCCCCTTCTTTAATTTCCAGAAAATTAGGGAGAGTCTCTTTTGAAACATCTCCCACACAATTTCCCCTTCAGTGGCTGATATCTTTTACATAGCAATTGTCCCACCTGAGATTCTCCCTTCTAAGGTCATTCCTCCATACCATGTAGACAAGGTGGGCAATATACAAATCAAATAATAAATAAACAGACTGTTGTGTCGGCGCTTAAGCAGGCTCGGGAGTCAGTGACTGATTTTCAGCTCTTTATTAGTCCCGAGATCGACTCAGCACGGCTAGGGTGTGTGGCGGCTTATATAGAACTTGCCGGCCAAGCCGCAGCCAATGACACCGCTTTGAATCTCCCGCGATCGGTTTCCTCCAATCGCGGGTGATTCGCAGCGGGCCAATCAGTGCGGCTTGCTCGACCAATCGGATCGCCACGCGTCTTAGCCAATCAGAACGGTTATTTACAAGAATGCTAATGTACAATACAGAACACAGACAAGCAAACAAATAAATACAGGTGGCAGGTGAAAGGAAGAGGTATCTTTTTTTCCACTAGCCTCAATCTATGGCACTCATTAATTGTCCACTGGGTGGGTAAAGACTCCTTCTATCTCTAACAATTCCACTCAGTCTGGAGACCTACTGCTAAGGCTGAGAGGGGTTGCAACAGAAGAGGGCAGCCAAATCATCATTAGGATTCTTGGGAGACAGGCTAGACTTAAACTTTATCCACCCGCACCTTTGCAGTACTCAAAGGTGCTTTATCTTCACTACAGTAGGAATTTTAATTTGGATTTGCATAAGGAGATAGGATTAAAGTATCCCTCCTTTTTGCCTCACAGCCCTATTGAATATTTATTTATGCTGATTCTCATGGGAAATCTGTTCCCCTTTGTCCAGCTGTGGCCGATCAGCAGAGAAGCTGAGTTCCTTTGACCAGGAGACCATGATCAAGGATCTTCTCTTCTCTTTTTGTGGGGAGAGGGAAACAGTAATACAAAGAGTCCTCGACTTACAACAGTTCATTTAGTGATGTTCAAAGTCACAATGGCGCTGAAAAAAAAAAGTGACTTATAACTATATTTCACACTTACCACCGTTGCAGCATCCCCATGGTTACCTGGTCAAAATTCAGACTTTGGCAACTGACTCATATTTACAAAGGTTACAGCGTCCCTGAGACTTGTGTTCACCTTCTGCAACCTTCCGGCAAGCCAAATTCACATAACTACTGTATTACTTATTTAACAACTGCAGTGATTCACTTAATAAATGTGGAGAAAACTGTTATAAAATGGGGCAAAACTCACTTAACAAATGTCTTGCTTAGCAACAGAAATTTTGGATTCAGTTGTGGTCATAAATCAAGGGTTACATTTATGAACAAGGCAGATGCCTTACAAACCAAACATAGAAGGCAACCATCATGCCTAGTCCTTCCAGCATCAGAGCTGTTACTATATACCAGATCTTCAAGATACTTCAAGCCTCAACTAACTGGCATCTCTGTCTCTTGTTCCAGAACATAGATTCATGCGTACACATCATTTCATCCTCTTACTCATTAAGGCTCAGCAAGGCACACATGGCTCATTTTCTTAAAGCTGTGTGGGCTGATTCTCAAGAGATCTTCCCCAAACATTAGTTTTCCTTAAGGAAACATCAAGACTCTGGGCCATTAACAAGCAATCTTCTCAACAAAAGCATGGCTAGCCAGCAACCGCAATGCTATTGTGAAAGCATTGTAACACCAAAAGAACAAGGAGTTTAGCTATAGTTGCCTACTCCTAGGTATAATTGAAATTGGTGGCCATGCTGGCTCCCTTGAGCAATATCTAACCTGAATTGGGAATTAAGGAAGTGACAATCCACCAGAACTGAAGAGTTCCAGGATGGGAAAGTCAATTCTAAAATCTGATTGATTTCAGTCTGCTTTTAGTTAGCAAAAATAGGTGATGTATTGTAACCGCTTATTTTTGACATGTTAGAACTTGAGATGAGATGGCTGGCTTTGAAATTGTATATGTGTGTGTGTGTATTCTTTTACTTAAACTTCATGTTAATAAAATGCAGAGAGGAAGATGGGTCTGAAAAAGGATGTAATAAACAAAATGACTAAAACAAACGTTACCATCAAAAATCTTTTATCTTGATCTTTTGTTAAAAGAAAAATCATTACTTTAAATCAGATGTACAATTTTTCTTCCAGCACTGTATGTTAATTCTTTTGGTAAGTCTCCATGCTTGCACAATCCAGCTTTTTGCTTTAATAGATTCTAAATTAATTGCTGGGAATATAGCCAAGAAAAAACAAATGCGTTCCCAACACATAGTCATCAACCCAGAATCATATTAACAGTCCTACTATTCTAAATGTAACAATAGCAGAACATGGCTAGTATTAATAGCAATACTATTTTATGTGTCTATTTTATACATATCTTCAACTAATTTGTTCCTTACAATAACATTTTCACTGAATTTGGATACCATGTTGAAAAAATTCCGAAAAGCAACCTAACCTAGAAATCCTTGAATTATTTTGGAATATGTACCAAACCATTCTCTAATACAGGTAGTCCTTGACTTACAACCACAATTCAGTCCAAACTTTCTGTTGCTAAGTGAATTTTGGCCCATTTTACGACCTTTCTTGCTACAGTTGTTAAATTTATAACACAGTTGTTAAGCTTCCCCATTGGTTTGCTGGTCAGAAGGTTGCAAAAGGTCATCTCATGACCCTGGGACACTGCAACCATCATAAATATGAGTCAGTTGCCAAGTATCCAAATTCTGATAACTTGACTGTTTGGATGCTGCAATGGTCATAAGTATGAAAAACGGTCATGAGTCACTTTTTTCAGTGCCATTGCAACTTAGAACGGTCACTAAAGGAACTGTTGTAAATTGAGGACTACCTGTATTTATGTAAGTTGAGGCACATCAGTTCACTGACTCAAACTATTTCACCCTTCCCATTAAAGAGGCCTCTGTCCAGTTTATTAGGGGTTATAAACCTATTCTCAGATATCAACAACAACTAGCAAAGGAATAACCCTTTACTTGCTGACTCTCAATACTACTTCATTACTTTCATTATCTCAAAACTTATAACTTTCCACCTCAAGACCTAGATCAAGGGTTAGATAATGATGTCTCCAAATCAATTTCTTTAAAATAATTAATTTTTTATCAAATGATGAATTGATTTATTGTTTTTATTGATTAGAGTGTTTAGTGCATATAGTGTGATTATCTGTAATAATTTCCTCCCCTGCCTTTTCTTTTCAGGAGAGCTTCTAACCAAATTGGAAGATGAGGATGAACAAGGCTGGTGCAAAGGAGTGACTGACAGTGGACATGTGGGCCTCTATCCTGCCAACTACGTGGAACCCATACAGGGTTAGATAGAATGCGTAAAACCAGGGGGTGGGGTGCACTTACCCAATCAGTAAAATCACATCTATGTATAGTTTGCATGTCTGAGGTCACATTTTCCAAGACAGAAGGATGCAAAATTCAGTTCCTTCAGAGATCCAGTTGCATTTTGATAATCATGCAGGTTCTTAGCCTATGCAGGTGTGAAATTCACCCTGAAAACTGTGTGGGAAATGCTAGTGAAATCTCAGAAGCTGCTGTGGGTTGGTGGGTGGGTTCACATGAAACCTCACATGGGTGGCTCTGGCTTCTGCATTCAGCATAGCTTTTTGTCCCTCCCTTTAGTTGTAGAATAAATGTATTGCAACGCAAGCCCTCTGAAGCTCCATTTACATATTGTACTCACAGAAAGGAAGCCTTTTGTTGTTTTGAGGGTGGCACAAATTGGTAAAATAAACCCGAATAATAAAGACTCTGAAACAAAGCTATGTAAAGGTATAGTCACCAAATTCCTACCACTTATAAGTAAATAGAAGCACATACATACATCTACTGGACACATACATCCGGTCTGATTTACTCGGTGTGCCTGCAGATTTTGATGTACTTACGTAGTTATTCATTCTTTTTTCTTGTTTCTCTGACACACAAGCAAATCAAGGTGCCTTAAAGCTCACCTTTATTTGCCACAGAGATTGAAAGCACCCTGCCCTGAAGGGCTAGTCAAACTTCACAAGAAGCACAACAAGAAAGATGTCACACAACCCCACAAATTCTCTTTAGTCATATCTTAATCCAAAGATCTGCCAGATGTGAGATGGATGGCAAGTTAGTGAAGTATGGGAAATTTGTACGACCCAACCATACCATTGTTTCAACACATCCCTGGATGACTGATATTTGAGGAAGAAAAGTATTCAGGGGCAACTGAACTCCACCTATAGAAGTATACTCCATCCGTCAAAGTGTGAAAACAAGGCTGAGACAACTAAGTTGAATTTGTGAACATCTATGGATTTTGTTTAAATGGTACTTTATCACCTGTGGATTTTGGAAAATAAATAAATAAGTGAGGTGGCCAGTTTTAGTTTCCTTTTTGTTTCCAAGCTTCTAGTTCTTACGACACAAATTTAATCTTACAAATATATGGGCAGGGCTGATGAAATCCAGTTGGTCTACTTGTGACTTGTTCCAGCATTTTATTTACCCTTTCCTCAAGGTATCTATTGCCAGTTTAATTGATAATAATCCAGAAGCTGAGTTAAGATACATTATGTATGTCATATCAGTCCTAGCCAATGTGGTTGATCTCCAAAAGCTAAGTGGGGTTTAAAGCTGGTTAGAACTCAGACAAAAAGCATCAGGAAATCCAAGGCTATAGACAAGACTAAAAGTTGAAAAAACACGATTGAAGGAGATAATGATAAAGCACTTCTGTATTGTAAGAAAAGCATGGGGGTGGACTTAGCAAATTTTAATTAGGCTCAAAGGAGAACGTATCTCAGTTGAGCTTTGCCTCATAGTCAACTTCCATTTGATTTTCCCACTTCAGATTAAATAAATCTCTTTAAACATTAAACGAAGCATTACAAGGCATTTCTCTACCCCAAGAAACATTCGGAATCTGCCCTGCATAAAATCATAACAGGGAAACATAAACCAAGGGGAACCACCCTTAGGTGTCAGCCGTAGAAAATCTCGCCAAGATTCTGCCAAATAATAATGATACAATGTGGAGGGCGGAATTAAATACATTAACTATTTAACTGTGCCATTAACTATGTTAATTGCATTAATTAAATTGTTAATTAACTATTTAATTTTATTAATTAAACTGTTAAAAAGATAATAATGTACAATATAAAGTACAAAAGCAATAGGAGCACTAACAAAGCACATGCTTGGGGCAAAGATATAAATAAAAAAGGTAATAACTCTAGTACAATTACTGAAACAACCAGCCAGTGGGGCACCCATACCTCCCAGTCCAAAGTTGTGTATGGAAACCTTCAGGTCTTAATGTTTTGCAAAAGATCGACAGGATGTACCATCCAAATCTCCAGGGAATGCTATTCCACAGGGCTGGCATAGTAGCATTGTATCCATTCTCCCTGTTGGAAAAAAAAAACTAACTGCAAGTAGTTCTCAACTTATTACTACAATTGGGATCAGAATTTTTATTGCTGAGCAAAGCAGCTGTTAAGTGAGTTACACTTGATTTTTTGCCATGGTTGTTAAGTGAATCACTGCAAATGGTTAAGTGAATCAGGCGGCCATAAAATGAATTCAGATTCCTCCATTAACTTTGCTTATTGGAATCCAACTGGGAAGGTTGCAATTAGCAGTCACGTGATCCCAGGATGTTGCAATTATCATAAATATATGCCTGCTGCTAAGTGCCCAAATTTTGATCACATGACATTGAGGATTCTGTGATGCTTTTTAATGCAAGGACCCATCATAAATCACTTTTTTTCAATGCTGTTTGAATGGTTGTTATAGTTTGAGGACTATAATCACTCGTTCGTCACACCTTGTGATTTGCAGTGTGTTGCACTAACATAACTTCCTAGGATGAATTGGGGCATTTGTGCACACAGTCTTGCCTGCGCCTTCAGCATCAGCTCCTGGCCTGAGCAATGTCACCATCTGTGTTCAGCAGCTGAGCTTAGTTAGTTCCAGCTCAGCTATGATGCATTTGAAAATCACAGGTGGGGTTTTTGTTTTTTCCTTTTGTGGTGAGGGCTGCTATGCAGAAACACTGCTCCATTGGTAGGAGCCCTCAATTCAATCTGCCTCCCAGATCATGGGTTCAAATGAACTTCCTTCCCCATAGAGGTTCAGGTGTTATAACAACAGATTAATAGAGTTGGAAGCTACAACAGGAGATCCTCTACCTGTCCGATCTGTTCTTAAAAACCTCCAGTGATGGAGCACCCATAACTTCTAAAGATGAACCGTTCCACCGATTCCAATAAGGAAATTTCTCTTTATTTCTAAATTGCTTCTCTCCTTGATTATTTTCCATCCATTGCTTATTGTCCTGTCTTCGGGTGCTTTGGAGAACAGTCTGACCCCACCCTTTTTTTGTGGCAGCCCCTCAAATATTGGGACACTACTAGCATATCACCTCTAGTCCTTCTTTTCATTAGACCAGACATACCCAATTTATGCAACTGTTCTTCACATGTTTTAGCCTCAAGCCTCCTAATAATCTTTATTGCTCCTCTCTATACTCTTTCCAGGGTCTGAACACCTTTTTTTAATATCATGGCGACCAAAACTGGATGCAGTATTCCAAGTGTGGCCTTGCCAAGACATTATAAATCACACTGGGGCAGTATTAATTTACAGATATTTTCTGAGCAATAGAAGGATGCTGCCTGGATTTCCTTTTAGCTCTCCCTTTTAGAAATATTTATTTTTTTTTTATTTTTTTTGCAAGTACACATGTACATAACAGAAACCATAGGGGAGAACTATTGACTATTATGTTCTTTGCATTCCCTTCTTGATTAGTTGGAAACCTATGTGGGTGTTTTGAAATCGCCAGCAACAGACCCCCACCAAGGAGTGAATCCAAACAACTTTTGAGAAAAGACCTTAGCGTTATTCCCACGCTATGGCAGGGTCTGCTTCAAACTCCCTTTTAATGGGTCTAATCCCTTAATTCAATTGGATGGAGCTGAGCATTTATTGGCCAGATGCCCTTCCCGACACCATGTGGAGTTTGTAGTTTTTTTTTTTTCTTTGCACAAAAGGGAATCATGTGACCCAGGACACTGCAACCATCATAAATATGAGTCCATTGGCAAGTGTCTGAATTTTCTTCACGTGACCACAGGAATGCTGCAAGGGTTGCAACTATGAAAACGGTCATATACACTTTTTTTAGTGTTGTAACTTTGAACAGTCATTAAATGAACTGCTGTAAATCAAAGACTACCTGTATTACAGATAGCCCTCGACTTCCATACGATTACTTAGTGACTGAAGTTACAACTGACCTCCCCAGAACTACTTACAATCCAGATTTGAAGTTTCTATGGTGGCCCATACCTTGCAGGGGGCCATAGTCATGTGATCATATTTTGGCTGCTTGGCAACTAGCTTGGATTTACAGCTGTTTACAGCATTCCCTGGTCAAATAACTGTGCTTTCTGATGGATTTTTTTTTTTGTCAGAAGCTGGCATTTATTACCAGTTTCTGGTAAAAAATATTCATTAAAAATGGGTTCACTTAATGACCATCACAAAAAGGTCATAAAATCAGGAACAGTCACTTGGTGACCAGCTTAACAATAAGCACAATTTATGACTATAATTCCTGTCTCAATTATAAATGTAAGTCAAGGACTATCTACACAGAAGAGAATGGGGCAAAACAGATGCTAATATTGGCTTTAAGCTCAAGAAAGCCTTCAATGTGCAGAATGAAAAAGTGAGTCATTCTCAAGTCCTTTTTGGGTCAGGCAAAACAGATGCTAATATTGGCTTTAAGCTCAAGAAAGACTTTAATGTGCAGAATGAAAAAGTGAGTCATTCTCGAGTCCTTTTTGGGTAGCTGTTTCATTCTGCCTAACATAATCAGCAACTGCAGCTGTCTCATAGGCAAGCAGTTCACAATCACTCCATAAGCCTTGAGTTTTTCTCAAGCCCTTCCTTAGTGGCCATAAATATTTTGAAGTGAGAATGAGATAAAATAATAAATACACTGGGGATCGTTGCAGTAACTTCATTTTAATGAAATGCAGTTTTTGTTCTCACCTGCAAACAAAAGATACAACATCTGGGGCAATAGAAAAAAAGAGGGGGTGGATTAATAAGGCCTTGTCAATTGTTACAATAGAAAAAAATTAAATTAAGGAGACATCATAAGTAAGGAGACATCAGAATTCCGTCTCAATTATAATTATTTTATCAAACTTGGATGGGTTTTATGGTTTATCTCAATGGCTACATTAGTCTGGTGAGAGGCAGAGAGAGAGAGACAGACAGACAGAGAATTTTTGTCTTTGTATCTTGGATTTGTGTAAGTGTAGTTACCTGTTGTTTTTTAAGAAAGTAAAAACAGAAAACAGAGGGGGATTTCCAGCTCTTCTCTACTGACTCATAATATTTTCTGCTGTCAAATTAATCTCTCTGTCTTGAGGGCAAGAGACATATTATCGCACCTACGATGGCTGTTTAAGGGCTTCAAGGAAAATCATTTTGTTTCTGAACCCTAAAGTTTTGCATGTCATAAACATGGAACCCTACAAGTGCTAGCCAAACAATATCTTCTTTCTGATTGAGCTCACCTGGTGACCAAATAGATTGAGAGCTATCAAAGTTCACCTCTCATTAATCAGAGCGGCAAAGCATTTTTGCTCAGGTGCTCTTAGCCAATTGAAACATGAACCCCAATAATTACACAGAATAGAGGAGGTAAACACAGCAGTCCTAACCAGTCAGGATCTACAACCCACATTCCTGGGCCCTGTGGGCGAGGCAATAATGCTACTCCCCAGCCAGTGCAAATACACAACTCCTCCATCCCCAAGAATAATCCGGGTGCAGTAAGGACACACAGAAGGAATTCCTGCTGGAAACTGAACTGAAGGAAACTGAAGGACTGAACCAACAGAAGATGGGAGGCAGAATCTGGATCATAATGCTGCTGGCAATTGGGATTGAAGGGCAAATCCGGTGAGATAATGCAAGATGATTATTGAACTCGGGGCTGCAGAGGAGTATCTAGGAATTTAGATCCTCATAGAAGATAGGATAGCCTCTTTTAATTTCAGATGCTCTGGCTGGGTTGGACCAGTTACAGTAGTTCCCAACTTCCTAGCCTGGTGAATTCTTTAAGCTGTAGTCCTCATCCTTTGGAGGTTAGCTTAGGGGGGATTTAGAAGTTTGTGGCTTGAGGGACCCTTGATCAAGAAAGAAGAATATGATTGCAGAGAATTTGAAGAATCAAGCTATGGGGCACACAGCTTGCATTTCAAGGAAGAGTGCAAACAGTGCAAACCACCAACTGTGAACACAGAATATGGGATCTGGGATAGCTAGAGGTAAATTGAAAAATAAAGAGGTC